ATCTTTCCAATGAATCAAGAGAACCCAAATACCCCACAGAACAAAAAATTCAACCCAATAGAAGCAGAATGTAGTCAGCAGCAAGCAAACCACAATCAAATATTTTCCAGATCGAGAAGATATCCATTGCTGCATTACGTTACATGAACTTTGAGCATCTGGTCATCTCACGGTTATGGAATGGTAGGAAACCCATCTGAGTCTGCAACCTCGACGGCAACCACGGCCTTTGAGCAACGATTTGATATATAGTAATATATAATTCATTCAAACCCATATATAGAATATGACAAATTAAAATTGCTATCCCAATTCTCAAACATACATATATATATATATATATATAATATATATATATATGTATGTATGTTATAATCTCAAGCAACTCCATCAACAATCCCAAATCAATATTCACAACTTAGAATCAAGTGAAACGAACTAATAGAATTTCAGGTGATTCTTCCAAGTTTTTCTCACCTTTTTTTTTTCATCAAACTAATAGAATTTCAGGTGATTCTTTCGAGTTTTTCTCACCTTTTTTTTTCATCAAAGAATTGAAGATTCTTCTGCAAATTTGCATGTTTGAATTGAATTTGGGGATTTGAGTACTGGGTAAATTTGAATATGTCAAGCTATCTTTTTTTGTCTAACGGCGAGGGCCCAAGTGAGCTCAAACAAATCGGACGACGGCGAGAGCGGGACCTTCCTCGAAGGTTTGCAGCAAAGGAGTCATTGTTGGAGCTCTATGCAACTGCAATTTGGTCAGGTCATCGAGAATATCGCTGTAGTTCTCTCGAATTAGAAACGAGGGAATGGTCTTGGTGTGGTGTTGTGATCTCGTTGGAGAGAGGACGCAACGCAGACGAAGCAAAGTCTTTGTAGAGGGAAGACGCCAAGCGGCGCAAAAGAGATGAAGCAGGTCTTAGCAGTCCCGTGGTTTTCAGGGGGCTTTGTAAAGACGACCTAACGAGGGAGATAGTCCACACGAGTCCGGGCTAGTCTCATTTAAGTTAGTCCCTAAGCATACCAAACATGGGACAATAATCCTAGCCAATCCAGTCCCACTTAAGAAGGTGAAACAAACACCCCCTTAAAGTACTATTTCAAAAGCAATATTACGTAGAACAGTCATATCATGTGTTACTATGGCCAAACGATCAAACTCGAGACTTTATATGTTTGTATATCACCCATACCCACTTTTTATGCCCGTGTAAGAGGCACCACATGAGTATACGCCACAACGAAATTTCTCTCAATATCTTGACCCAAATTTGCCAAACTCAACTATATTGTAAGTTTACAACAATTTGAGGAAAACGTCTAAATTTTTTGGGTTTGAGTAAAATGTGGAACATGCATTTGAAGTTTTAATCGATTGCAGAACTTGCACTAATCAGCAATTCCTTCTTCCTATCCCGTTCCTTCTTCCTCTGTCCGGGTCTAACTGTTGGAAAAAATTAGTATCTTATATGATTATAGTTAGTTTGATATATGGGATTATACCATCCGAATTAAGATTTCTAGGTTTTACTTTCTATAAATATAGCTTATAGTTTAGTATGAATAACAAGTTAGTTACGATGTGGCCTCTTAAGATTTTGTAGCTATTTTGACATTCTTGTCTATTAATAATATTCTTATTATTTTGTAGTCATATTTGTTCCGCACTATGATATTCAACTTGATATCAGAGTAGGTTTGATCTTTCGGGATTTATTTTGCTCTTGTATCAATGTTGTTTGTTTGATATTAGTTTTCAGTATTAGTTTTTTTGAAAAAAAAAATTGAGTATGTTTGCTCTCGGAACCACTTGCAGGTCCCTGCATACCCGAAACCCCAGCCAATAACCGCCGCTTCAAACTTGTCGTGCCTAGTTTTTCTCTGCAATCTGCCGCTGCTATTGACCGAAGCCTAGAAACGTACCCACATCGCCGCCACGCCCAACATACCCGCCTATCGCCCATATTGCCATCCACTGATGCACTCCCTGTACACACGCATCCTTGCCGCCGCTCTGATCTGCACCCTGTTGTTGTCCCATTAGGCACAAAATCCGCAGGTGCTCCTACCTATAGACCCATGTTCTGCAAACCAGTCTGTGCTTTGTAGAAGTTAAGGAAAGAAAAAGAAGAAAAAGGAAAGAAAAAAAAAAGGAACGGGTGAAAGGAAAATGTCAGAACAAAAAAAAATTGTTGAGGTTTCGACCCACACGGGTAAAGAGGAAAAATGGGTTGTGGGCTGTTTGCCAGCCATTTTTTTGGTTTGATGTCTTTGAGGCTCACATGAGTTGTTGGCTTGTTTGAGATTGTTTTGTGACAGTCATTCAAGTGCTTAGAATTGTGACCACTAGAGTGATAGTGTTTATGTTTGTTCATTCATTGATACAATTGAGATATGGAAATCTCGTCCATTTAGTGATAGGTTCTTTCTATACTCTTAACACTAGCCAATTTGAATTAGAATCAGTTTGCTAGCCAGAATTAGCTTGCCAACAAGAATCAATTTGCCAATCCAGTCAAGTTTGCTTGCTTGCTAGTCCGCCTAACGGAGCCAATCTGCATCTGCTTGTTTGCAAACCCATGTCCTATACCGCTATGAGTTTGACGGTTTTTAGTATATGGGCTTAGCCCATCAGAATTAGGGTTTCTAGGTTTTGCTTTTTATAAATATAGTTTATAATTTAGTATGATTAACAAATTAGTCACGATGTAGCCTGTTAAGGTTTTGTAGCCGTTTCGGTATTCTTGTCTATTAATAATATTCTTATTATTTTGTAATCATGTTTGTTCCGCCCTATGTATTCAACTTCAACACACCTCTCTCTAGTTGGGTGGAGTTAGGCTATTATCCTTCCTATCGATAATGGTCTAATTTTGTATCTCCTACACTATTGAGCGTGTTGGTCGTGTTCACGGTGGTGGTAGTTCGGGTGAACATGTGGTTTGATTTGTAAGTGGTTTGATTCGAATATCTGAAGCCATTGAGGCTTTCTATCGGTTGGATTGTGTTTGATGAGGCACACCCTTTGAAAGCTTCAACTCGATCCTTTAGTTTTGGGTTTGTGCATTACAACACAATGCCTTTCATTACGGTGAAGTACATGGCCTCTAAGTTGAGGCCTTTGCCATTGCCATAGGAAATTTGATGCACACTTGCTGTAACATCCCATATCGCTTAGGGGAATGGATTCTATAAGCCTTATATGTATATATTCCCATCTCTACCTAGCACGAGGCCTTTTGGGAGCTCATTGGCTTCGAGTTCCGTAAGAACTCTGAAGTTAAGCGAGTTCGCGCAAAAGCATTCTCAGGATGGGTGACTAACTGGGAAGTTCTCGTGTGAGTTCCCAGAACAAAACCATGAGGGCGTGGTCGGGGACCTAAAGCGGACAATATCGTGCTATAGTGGAGTTGAGCCCGAGATGTGGTGGGGGGCCCAGGCGGGGATGTGACACTTGCCCAAATAGTTGCTTCAATATAAGGATTGTTGCTTCAATTTGCTGTGTTGCAATCCATGTGGCCTTAGTGTCCACAAATCTTATCTTTTTTCACAATCGGCGGAAACCTTTGGCGGCTGTTGGTGCTAAAGATTTTATGCAGGTTACCTTGGGCTCTTGGTGGCAGGGGATGACGACGATGTCCACAGTGGCTCTGTCGTGTCGTGGGATCTGCAACCTCTGTTGTCCTTGCTACCACACACACCCACGTGGTCCTGCAGTCCACGCCTCCTACCATGTTTGTATCATGTCTTCCTTGTGGACACACTTATGGACATTTCATCAGCTTTAGTTAAGTTTGGCTTTAGTTAAGTTTTAAGATTTTTTTTTTTTTTTGTAGCACTTTGAGAGTGGGTTAGATTAGTAGGTTTTGTGTTGCTCTTATGATCTGATTGTGTCGCTTATGTGATTTATGTGGCTTCGTTGTTGATAACTTTATGTCAGGGTACCGGTGTTAGGACTGTCACGTCTACCATCTTTTTGACAGTTTTACACGAGACTCTTGTTTTGTGTTGGTTTATTGTGATAGTCGTATAGGGGTTTAAAATCTTTGCATCTTGTGCGAACTACCTCCAAATCAAGAAATTGTATCCATCTATTACCTCTTGTATTTGGTTGTTCTTAATAATGAAACACACTATGCTTCTATCAAATAAAAAAAATACTTAATCTGAGCGGAATGTCACATTGCTGAGTTGCCAACATCCTGCATTGAGTGCCTTATATCCGATTAGCGTGCCGAAAATGCTAAAATTTTTGGGATTGTAGCTATACTAATCATTTGCCTAAGCAATCATGCAAATACATTTGTGAAATCTGAACACTTCGACTTTGTACGAGTTATGGGGGTCGGTTTTGTAGGTCATTCCGATAGTGCCGTTGGTGCACTTGATGTAAAATCTGGACACGTTGATTTTCCCCAAATAGCTTTCTCTTTGCGGGAATTGAAATTTTGGTGTCTTTTGGACATGGAATTTCCTAAACAAAGAGTCCACAACTTCTTAATACTTAAAAAAAAAAAAAAATGCTATTAGTACTTCCAAAATTTTATTTTATTTTTTTTATAAATGTATTTTTCTTTTTAATTATAGAAAATTTGGAGTACGAATTGAGATTTTTAGAGTGCCAATAACAATTCAAAAAAAAAAAACAAAAAAAAATTGTTCAACTAATTAAAGAACAAATTAAGAAACCAACACATAATTTTTAATTTTGAAATTTACAATAATATTTTTAATTGATAAATAAAGAAATGTTGACGTGGCCTAAGGGAAGGGATCCTCTCTGGTTCTTTTCTCCTAATCTACCAAATTAGGGAAGTTGAAATTTTTTTTAAATGACTGAAATTATTATAACTTTTAAAGGTTTGTAGTCGTTAAATCAAATTTTAACGGTATAAATTTCTAAACCCCTTGCCGTGGCCTAATGCCTAGTGTCTTAATCGAAATCCTAAAAGGCACTTATGTCTGGTAAAAAAAAAAAAACTTTTTAAGTTTTGAGCGTTTAAATCTAATTTAGCCCTTTCCTATTGGGATCCTGAGTTTCTGACCCAATTTCCTACCCTCTCTCCCCCGGCCAAGCCTCCTCCGCCGCCGCCCCCGGGATTCCACACCTTCTCCATCCTCTCCAGTATGTCTTCCCTTCACGTTTCCCCAAACACCATTTCTCAGACTCTCAATCTCCGCGGTCGATTCAGCCCCAACTTAGGCAGGGAAGTCCGACTAATCAACGTCCGGAGACCGGTCACTGGCTGCCTCAGCGTGGACGTGGAAGCACCCGATACCACCTCAAAACTAGAGATTTTGAAGAGCAACGAGGTTATGGAGATGGAGGCAAAGGTCCTGCTGCAGACCTACGCGAGGACTCCAGTGGTGCTCACCAGTGGCAAAGGTTGTAAATTGTACGACACCGAGGGGCGAGAGTATTTGGACCTGAGCTCGGGGATCGCGGTGAACGCGCTCGGCCATGGCGACGAGGACTGGTTGAAGGCTGTGGTTGATCAGGCCGGAACCCTCACTCACGTCAGCAATCTCTACTATTCGATCCCTCAGGTTTGCCCTTTATCAACTTGGATTCTATTGCTTGTTTGGTTGCCGAGAAAGTGTGGGAAAATTGTAAAAGATTGCATTTTGTGCATGAACGGCGTCGTTAGTATGGTTTTGGACTTGTGGGTATCGCTTGGTTGCCGAGAAAGTGTAGGAAAAATGTGAAAGATTGCATTTTGCGTCTAAACGGCGTCGTTAACTCTGATTATGGACTTATGGGAATTGGTTGGTGTGTTGTAGGTGGAGCTGGCAAAGCGTCTGGTGGGTGCTAGTTTTGCAGACCGTGTGTTTTTCACGAATTCCGGAACCGAAGCGAACGAAGCAGCCATTAAATTTGCAAGGAAGTTTCAGAGACATGCTCACTCTGATGCGAAAGAGCCGGCCACGAGCTTCATATATCTTTCACAAACAGCTTCCATGGGAGGACCATGGGCGCTCTTGCCTTGACTAGCAAAGAGCATTACAGGTCCCCTTTTGAGCCTGTCATGCCTGGAGTCACGTTTGTGGAGTATGGAAATATACAGGCTACCAAAGAACTGATTCAGCCTGGAAAGACTGCCGCTGTTTTCGTTGAGCCGATTCAGGGTGAAGGGGGAATTTACAGTGCTTCAAAGGAGTTTCTGCAGTTTCTCCGTACTGCTTGTGATGATGCCGGTGCTCTTCTGGTATTTGACGAGGTAAGCAGCAGCTATTTGAACAAACTAGATGGTGTTTTTGTGCTGGCTTCTCTTGTTAACATTAGCACACTATAGTTTTATGGTTTATGCAAAATGGTTCTGACTTGGTTTGGTTAGGTTGGTAAATTGCACTGGATGATTTGGTTTCATTGATCCCTTGGATAATGGTCGTTATGACCTCGACCCATCGTCACATTGAAAATTTCACTAGTAAATGTGTTGTATTTCCCCTTTTCCAACATGAAATATGAATTCTCGCATGATGCGTCTGATTATCTTGTATTAGATTCAATGTGGATTAGGTCGAACTGGCCATCTCTGGGCGCATGAGGCTTACGGTGTATTCCCAGATATCATGACACTGGCTAAGCCACTTGCTGGAGGACTTCCCATCGGAGCTGCATTGATGACTG